TTTAGGGTTTAGGATTTAGGATTCTCAGGCTGAGTTGCCTTATTAGGGATTCCTTAACCTACCAAAACCTGCCTTTTTTTGTAGGGTCCCTATAAACTCCATATTAGGCTTTACAATAAGAACCTACAAAACAGTAGGTTTTGGTAGGTTAGGATCTATAGTAAATAATGGGGATCTATAGTAAATAACAAGGGATTTTTGGATTCAGTTAACTTATTAGGGATCTATAGTAAACAATAGGGATCTATAGTAGATGCCAGGGTCTCTTTATATTCTGGCAACTTAAGTTAAATATCCCAAAATTTATGGCAACTTGAGTTAAATATCCCTTAACAAAAGCCCAGGCTCTGTTCGACATCAGCTGAAAGACGTGCACCACATCCAGGCTTGTCGGCAAGCTTTCGCTGCGATCCGGGGCGACGGCTCCTTGTCGATTTTGTGCAGAGGTCGGTAGTCATGTTGACTATGCGCCGTAATTGCACTCGTTTGTGATCATATGGCAGTAATGTAAGGGCCTTAATAACTAGAATAGGGTTTTGGGGGTTCCTTATTATAACTATAGTATAATGTAGCCCAAAACCTTATTCTAATTGTTAAGAGCCCTACAGTATGTATTAACTTCTTCTCCACATGTAAATCTAGTGGTGTATATATGTTTTCGTGTATTGACCTAGTTAGGCGAGCCTGCGCATGTCTCAATACAGGCATAGCAGACGCCAGCCACTAAACCTAGAGACTACCCTAAGCCCGACACCTCGCATCCTCAACGAATCGGAGGTTCGGTGGTGTCCTGGGGCAATGCGCATCCATTCTCTGGCGGCGACAGCAGCTCCGTACAAGCATTGCTGCAAGATGTTCGCGAAATCCAGGCCGATGACCTTCAACACTCTTGGCTTGAACACCTTCGTATCCGGATGGTAAACCCCACAAAGGAAAGTTGGAAAGCGGGTTAAGGACAATAAGTCATGGGATTCCCATTTACATTAGTCTGAAGGATTGACGCTATCAGGTTTCCAACTTTTGGGCTTCTAACTTAGGGCGGGTATTCTTTACTTTAGCCTCCTGAGGGCTGCTAGAACTCAAGCCTGAGAAATCCCCTCTCAGCCGCTAGAAAATCAAGCCCGTAAATCCAAGATTCACGTGCACCCTAAATTTACTAAGCCTTCAAAACCCGCTTAGAGATCCCTTATAGAATGATCCTTATACGAACCTTTAAACCTTCAGACGAACCCTCAAACTTGAAACCCTCAATCCTAAACCCTAAACCCTAAACCCTAAACCCCAAACCCTAAACCCTAAACCCTAAACCCTATAACCCTCAAACTTGAAAGGGGTCCCAAGAGATTTCCAGGCCTCCGACCTGGCATTCGCGGCTTTGCTGGGAGATGGCTCGGTGCTAACTTGGGGTCATCCAGAGCCTCGGCCCATCTCGGCTTCTTTGATGGGTTTAGGGTTTAGGGTTTTGGGGTTTAGGGTTTAGGGTTTAGGGTTTAGGGTTTGGGGTTTAGGGTTAAGGGTTTAGGGATGGGTTTGAGGATTTTAGGGGTTTCGGGCTTTGGGGGCTTACGGGTTTAGGGTATTTCGGGTTTAGGGGTTTAGGGGTTTAGAGGTTGAGGGTTTCGTGGAAAGTTGAGGGTTTAGGGTTGAGCGGTTTAGGCATTCAATTGGAGGGTTTAAGGTTTAGGGCGTAGGTAGACCTAAGCCAAAGCCGAAGCCCTACACAGCAACATCCTAAATCCCAAGGCGTAAAAACGAAATTGTTTTGGACCAGAAGCTTAAACCCCGAACCCTAAACCCTAAACCTAGACCCTAAGTCAGCCCTGAACCGTTTGAAGGAATCCAGAATCTTGC